GCATGTGGTGCTGGGGGATTGAACCGCGGTCCCTGTGCTTTGCCAAGCTTGTTCCAAGTAGGTGCTTTAGACCACTGAGCCATCTCGCCAGCCCCTCATATTTAAGTTTCTGTGTGGTATGTTTTCAATTCTCCAGTATATATACATAGAAACAAAAATGCTCAGAGAATGCCTCTATTTTTAAGACATCCTTAAGAGTTTTTTTTTTTAAATGGGAAAATGCCACATCGCTCTTTATTGACTGCTGGTGCCTGTGTCAGCCCCATCTCTCCAGCCACAGGGTTCCTAAGCGAATGGTTCTGTCACCCAGCTGAGACGCAGTGGAAGCCAGCACCCACCTCAGTGCCAGGGCTGCAGGCTCAGGTCTCCTCGAACTCCTGCTCAAAGAGATTTTTTTTTTTTTTTCTTAAAACAGGAACTCTAGGTAGGTTAAACTGGTCTTGACACTGGCCTTATACACGCAGTGATTCTCCTGTCTCATACTCCAAAATGCTGGGATTACAAGTGGGTTCCATCACACTTCACTGGAGAATTTGACATTTACAACAAAATCCAGGGTACAAATGACAATTAGGAAATCTATGTTGTGATTAATGTTACCGAAATACCTAAAAGATTTAGTTCATCCATTTGCTCCTTAGACTGAAGTCAATCAACTTATATTATTTACCTTGGCCTTTTTCAAGAAAAATGATTTTGGATTCTGGAAGAAAATTAGATCCAGTCACAATCATTTCATGGCCTCCATTTACAGGGCAGCTGCTGATACTGTACTTCTCAATATGAGGAAGTTCTTGAGCAGACCGCTGGGCTGTTTAAAAGAATTGAGAAAAAAGATGTTACTTTAAAGTATTTCATATATAAACTCAGGCTACAAAATAAAAGTAGATTTTGGATTAATTCATTTAGGTCCCTGTGCTTGAGCCATCTCCCCAGGCCCTCATTCAGGGTTTTTAAATTCAAAATAGTGATAACAATTCTTCCTACAAGAAAACACTCTAGAAAACAAGATAGCTGGGGCTGGGGAGATGGCTCAGTGGAATAAGCGCTTCCCTGGCAAGCGCCAAGAGCCTGAGTTCAATCCCCGGTTCTGCAAAAAAAACCAAACAAACAACAACAACAACAAAAAAAAAACCAAAAACAAGACAGCTATATTATGTAGATGCAATTTTAAAATTATAACTATAAAGAAATAATGCCTTCAACTTGATACTGACTCCTGCACATTTATCTCAGTCCCCCTTCCCCTCCCCCTCCCTCTCCTTCTCCTTCTCCTTCTTATTCTTCTTGTACTTGGAATCCAACTCAGGACTTTGTGCTTGCCAGATAGGTGCTGAGCCACTGAGTTACAACCCCAGACCCCTTTTCTGCTTGCTTTTTAGATTAAATC